CGTTAGGGTCATTGGCTCACACACCTGCTCCTGCATGCTTTGCATGCCAGGAACAAAAACAGTTACAGCCTAGAGCGCTTAAAGCCTTAAGCCTTGAACCGTAAGCCTTAAGCAGCATGCTTATGCTATAAGTCCGTGGCCGTAGAGTCCTTGGAGTCAGAGGCCTTCAGACCTTGGGTTGAGCTTTGCCACAGATGCCATTTGTACTCTACGGACCCTGGACAGAGAGGAGTTTTACACCAGATTTGGGTGCCCTTTTCCCTTAGGGAGGTGCACACCTGAAAAAGCTCCCACTATTTCTGCTCAGGGCGTTTTTTTACGCCAGGTTTTGGCCCTAGTTTTGCTTAGGTGTTTTTACGCCTGGTTTTGGCCCTAGTTTTGCTTAGGGGTTTTACGCCAGGTTTTGGCCCTAGTTTTGCTTAGGCCGTTACGCCGGCCGAGTAATTTCACTCCGGGCCCTAGGCTGCGTGGCACACGAGATGTTTTACGCCGATGCACCTGGCCCGAGGAAGAATTACGCCATTCAGGCGCGTGGCCCGAGAGTGGTTTTACGCGGATTCACTGGCACCAGGCAAGAATTACGCCAGTCAGGCGCGTGGCCCAAGCAGGCTTTTACGCCGATTTGCTTGCCCAAGTGAAGAATTACGCCAAAAGTGCGCGTAGCACAATTGACGCGTAGCACAAGGGACGCGTAGCACATTTCGGAATGAGCGCGTAGGGCACCGGCACACAAAAAGCAGAGACAGAACGCGTAGACCACCAGAAAAAGCCTGGTGCGTAGAGCAGCAAAGGCCTCAGAGGCCGGCTGGGCCCCTGGGGACTCTGCACAGGGCCCCAGAAAAGGCTGCTTCCTGTGAGACAGAAGCATGTAGGGCCAAGAGTCTAGAGTCTAGAGTTCTAGAGTCGAGCGGCCTTCAGCTTCAGTCAGGCCGGCCGAGGGCCTGGGTTAGCTAGGCTCTAGTCCTAGGGCCTGCAGCTAGAGTGAGGCTCAGGCAGAGCTCCTATGCAGTCCCTGCAGCCGAGGACTCAGGCTGAAGCCTGCGGCCCTCAGAAAAGAAGCAAGAGCTTAGCCTTAGCACCGAAAGAATCAGCCGCATGAGGGCCATGAGGCCATGGAACAAGGAGGGTTAAGCAGAAAGGCTACTGTAGCTTAGACTAAGTCGGCCAGGGAGACGAGCCCTTTGCTGCATGCTGTGGAATCTCTGTCTCACAGGTCACCAAGCAGCGTTTCAGGCGTAGATCCTAAACCTAAACCTGCTATGAGGGCTACCAAACTAGCTATGCATGTTACTTCTCCCCTGCTTCCTTCTCATCCTGCGATTGAAACCCATTTCTGAATTCTGTATCATACAACCCTTTTTAGATTCATCCCTTACAGGAACCCTTTTAAGGCACAAACCCTAAGAAAACCCTATAGGAAACTCCTAAATACCCATGAACCCTCACCCCTAAACACAAACACCGTTATTACTCACCCTGATTCCTAAACCCTAAACTAAACCCTAGACACAATGAACCAAGACATCACTGCTCCAGGCAGCCTGATCAGCACAGAGTTGCATCCGACCCGGACTCCGCCCCTTGGCTGCCTGGGGATTTGGGGCAATTGCAGGTTTAGACTTCCTGACAGTGTTCTTTGAAGGGTTCCTTTTCAAGGGCCTACAGGGCTTAGTAGTTTAGGGTTTAGGGTTTCGGGTTCAGGATTAAAAACTCGATTTTAGGGTCGGGGGTTAAAGGTTTACTTTTTGGGGTGTAGTATTTCGACATCAGAATTTTCACCTATATCTACATTTACAGATTCCCTATTCCAATCTTACTGCAGCATCCCCCAAAGCCCAGTGCCAATTATTAATGTCCCTCTATGATTCTCGAGGCCAAAGAAAACGAAACCCTAAAACCTACACACCAGGAACGCATGACCTAGACCCTGGTCCTGAAGCGACTTCTCGTGAACCCGAAACCCAACATGCAAAGCCCCGAGTAACGACAGCCCCGAACCCTGCAGGAGGTGAGTTAGGTCTTCATGCTTTGGGGGCTTAGGAGCTAGAGTGTGATATAGGTATATAGGCGACAGAAGGATTCGGCGACAACCTATTCAGATCTGCTTCTTAGGCACACATGTCTAGATTCCCGCGGCTGCACTGTCTACTGCAGCACACAACTGTCAATTGCACGACTGAAACCCTTGCCAGCTGGAAAGTTCAAGATCAGTACATGGTCGTATAAATGGATCCGATGGATAAATGTCGAACAAACAAGTTTGACCACTAAGCATGTTTTTAAGTAAGCAAGTAAACAAGTAAGCCAGCAAGGAAGTGAGCAAGCAAGCAAGTACGTAAATAAGTACGTAGCTAATTACATACAGACTTGCATGCATGCATGCAAGTCTGCATACATACATACATACATACGTACATACATACATACATACATACATACCTACATACGTACATGCATACATACGTACATACATACATACACATACACAAACAAACATACATACATACATACACAAACATAAATACATACAAGCATACATACATACATGCTGTTGTGGGTCGAATATATACATAGTCCCATTACCAAGCAGTGAGCGACTTCTCACTCCACCAAGAGCCTAAACCAAGCAAGCCAGGATCTCAAACCCCATAATTAAAATACCGTAAATCATGCTGAAGATGGCCTTATGAGTGAGGACAGATCCCTTTGTAATTTAGGATCCCCTTGGAATGAAGGTGCACTCCTGAACTAGTCAAAGGTGTACTCCTAAATTTAAGGATTTGGGAGTCTCTGGAAACCTAAACCCGTGCCGGCTTGCAGCCCCAGAGAAGAACCGCGTCTATCTGCACTGAATCCAGGGCAGAGTATGTAGTAGGCACCAGACCCGGTCGCACCCTGTTCAAGGTTTTGAGAACATTTCAGGAAGTTGAGCATCTCGTAGCCTAAGAGAGTTACTTAGAACCTGACGAAATTCCTCATCAGCCAACTCTTGTGTTTCTAGAAACCATCGCCTGAATGTCCTCTGCTCCTGAATTTGGCACTCACCCAAAGAAGGCCTGCAGTACTTCGGTATATCTGATTTGCTTCAATTCTGCCAGACTCAGACCAGGAACAGCTCTAACCGTTGCTGTTGCTTGCCAGAACCACCTTAACCTTGATGATACTTCTGCAATCTGTGTGGGTTGCAGGTGCTTTGGACAGCAAGCAACTGCATGACGACCAGGCTCCGTGGGCAAGGGCCTTGCCGGGTGAGCATGCCAGAAGTGACCAAGCTTTTTGTGTCTCTAGAAGTTTTGGCCCGAGTGTAGCAGTTTTGCAGCACTTTTGCAGCCATGGGTGTCAAGAGAGCCAGCCTGGCCACCTCCATCGATGATCTTGTTGCATCGGCAGAGGCAAAAACAATCCTGGCCCGATGTCAGGACAATGCTGCTCTGGCGATGAAGGTCCTCAAGTACTTGGAGCAGGGGATTTTCGATGGCCCGACTGAAGCCACTTGGCCTGACTTCACCAGGTGCGTTTCTCTTCCTGCTTGCTCTGCTTCTCTCCCAAATCAGGATTGCCTGGCGGCATACGACGACAAGCTGGTCACGACGGCCCGAGTGGACCGGGCGCCGGACCAGTTCATCAAGTATTGCTTGTGCAAGCTTCGGCCCGACTTCTCCTTGACCGACTCCACAACGTTCCCTCGGTCGCCAAGCGACCGCAGGTTCGTGTGGATGTTTGCACTGGACCTCAGTGCATCCAGCATTCTTCCTGCTGCTGAGCAGCCGGGCCCGAATGCTGGCCCGAAGAAGAGAGCCCGAACAGACCGAAAGGGCGGAAAGCCTGTCAGACAGTACTCTGCCTTGGCTGCTTGGGCAGAGGAACGGTATACTTCCTTGGGGTCGGTTCTGCAGCACATCGAGAGCAAGAACTGGTCCGAGTATGTAGCATAGCTGCAAAGAGTCTGCTTAGGCTTCCAGGATCACAACATCGTAGCACCGTGAAAAGTTGAACCCTTGCATCAGGTCGACAAATGCAGACAGTATGATCTCGACCTTGACAAGAAGCAGGTCCGACACATCCGTTCTGGAGAAGTTGCTGCCATTGAAGGCCTGGGCGATGCCACATGGACCTTGATCAAGAACTACTCGACCCAGGACCAACAAGCTTGCTTGTCACCTTGCCAGGACATGTTTTGATGCACACATGATACATTTGTAGAGTAGACTCCAAAACCAATGCTGTGTCAGGATGCAGCTCTGGCTGTGGGGGCGAATGGTCAAGTTTCTCGAACGGTGATATGTCATACTCTTTTCTCAAAGAAGCAGCTCCTGCAAATGCTGCCCGACTGTGAGTAGGCCTGTGGCCGATTCTTGGACCGATTTGCTTCGAAGCAACCGCTCATGCATAGCCCCAGAAGTTTGTTTAGCTTTGCATATTCCAGGAGCACATGCAAGGTACAAGAAGTCAAGCGGCAGGGCATCAAGACAATGTAGAGGTTTGTAGAAGTCCGGTTCCAGGCATTTCCAGTTTTGGCGGTTTTAAATTATATTTTGGTGCCGATTGCAGCTCCTTGCCTGGTCCGAGACGTCTCTTGCCGGGACTTTGTCCAATCTGCAACAGAGCAAGGATTGGTACCGCATTTTGCATTCCTGCAAGGAAGAAAATACTGACTGCTTGCAGTTCTGACGTGCAGGAAAACACAATGAATTTAGCCAGGATTGCTTCTAAAGTCTTGGAGAACCGAGACATTGCTATGCACACAGCTTCTTTTGTGGCCCAAATCATAGCAGGCCGGCCGGCACTGGTTTGTGCCTTGCTCTGTCCTCCGACGCAGTCCAGCTCGGGGCGAAGTGGCTTTCCTTCGTCTGTGAAGCTTAGGCAAGCCGGGTGGGTCTACAGAAGAATTGAGTGGACACTGCCAGGTTGCAGTGGTGTAATGCCACGAGAACTTAACACTTCCTGCTGCAATGTCCCTGCCAGGTCCGAGGAGTTTTGCTGGGCCCAGTCTTCTAGCCATGGCACAAGCGAAGAAGTTGCAACGACTTCAAGCGCTCCTCCAGACAACGAGCCATGGCACAGTGATGAAGAAACTGAAAGAGATGGTTCCAAAGCCAAGAACTCAATTGATAGAGGTGTTGCCGCATCGGTCAGATGTAATTCTTTTGGCCCTCTCCTAAGAAGCCTTCTCTGCAGAGGCTTTCAGTTGAAACACAGGGCCGACTCATCGAGATGATGGACCAGGACCTCTTCAAGGACACGGAGCTGGTGGCCTCCAACACAACCACCCTGGCTTCTTGGATGTCACATGTGTTCGTCATGCAATCAGTGGCTGGTATTCTTTTAGCACGTCTGATTGCTCAAGCTAGGCACTTGCAGCAGCACCGCCACTGCCGGACGAGGAGATCAAGGTGGCCCGATTCAAGAAGCTTCCGGACCGATTGATCCACCTCATCCTGAGCCAGCTGATGGATGGCCCGACGTCTGAGGAGACCCTGCAGAGACTTGTTCCAGGCGACAAGCTGCAGCTGCTCATGTATGCGATCGATGCATGCGATGCAGACTTGCTTCCATACAGCGAAACGGGTGAGGGCCGTAACTTCCCTGCACTTACTTTGGCTTGCAAGACCTGCCTTGAATGACAATGCATCATGGACAAATCAATCCAGGAAAGCGCTCATTGGCCCGGGTGATTGAGTCTGCAAGGGATCGACATGCTGCTTTCGGCCACCCCTTGGCCCGATTCGTCCCGCCGCAGCTCGGGATCCTGGACTGGGACCGAGAGGCAGGATTGAGAGGTAGCTTTCTCCAGGAAGACATCCGTTGCACCCATGGCTTTTTCCATGTCGTGAGGTTGTTGTTTTGCCTGAGTCGTCAGGTTCTCTGTTCTATTGATATTGCCTTTGACACTTAGATGTCAAACCTCTGGATCCATGCAGGTGGGCTGGTTCATCCTCGAGGGATCCGATTCTGGGGACCTCGTCGCCAGACACAGGAGGCTGCCGCTGACGATTGAGCTGGGTCTCCGGGGCGATTGGCACCTGGTGAAGAACTACTCCACCCTGGATTGCTGTGTCTGCAGGTGGAGTGTTGGGTCGGAGTCTAGAACAAGAGGATGACATGCTCTTTGTGTTTTCCATGTGCTGGGACAGGTGTTGGGTGCACTGGGTGTGTGTGTGGAAGAAGTTATTGAGTTACTCACTGTTGTCGTGCCCAGGATCGGTCCAGGTCCGAGCCCGCCGAGAGGATCTCCTTGAAAGCCATCTGCTCCAACGAGAACAGGAAGCATCAATGCTGCAATCTGTCGTAGTTCTTCCATGATTCTTGGGGGTATGCAGGAAGCATGTTCTCCTCTTGGTCTTAAGGCAGATGGCAGACAGCCTGATGCCAGAGTTCCCAGTGCAGACCCGAGACTTCGGGCTAGTGCACCGCAAGAAGAGGCCGGCCATAGAAGACTTGCGCCAGAGCCCGGACGATAACGAGGAGGCACTTTTGTACTGTGACCTCGTTGAGGGCGAACTGAAGCTGAAACCCAGCTTGCTGGGTCTGGACTGCCTGGCCGTGGCTTTCAAGGGACCGACTGGGGTAGGGCCCGAGGAGAAGAAAAAGAACAAGAAGTCCAAGTCCAAGAAGTCCAAGAAGAAAGCCTCGTCCGACTGCCTCGACTCTTCAGCTGCTTGATTTGTTAATCTTATCATAGCCTGTCTACCAATCTTACATGCTGAGTTTCATCGTTTGGCCATGTAGGGTACCCTTAAGTGCAGCGATTGAGTGGCCCTTTTGATAAAAAGGGCCACTTGCATCTCCTGGAACCGATCAGGACAGCGACGGCGCAATGTTTGCCTCAGCGTCTGCATCAGCGTCAGCAAAGCCAAAGCACAAGCCTCCACATGTACCGGATCATGAGCCTCCACCTGGCCTGACTGATGAACAGATAGAAGAATCTAGCTTGCAGCATCAGGTTCTGACCACTTCTCTTTGTCAATGTCACTGTGTCTCCCTCTCTCCGAGTCTGTCTTTGTCTTTATCTGATTTTGATACATGTCTTTATTTTCTTGCAATATATCTCTCTCTCTCTCTCTCTCTGTCTCTCTCTCTCTCTCTCGCTCTCTCTCTGCCAGTTAGTTGGCCCTGCCAGAGTGCTGCCTTCAGTGATCCCAGGCAGACCTCGAAGATATGCTGAAGGAGCTTTTGTTTCCCGTGCTCTTGCAGATCTTGTCCCCGAGAAGACACATATGACAGGAGTTGGACGAAGAGGCCCATGGATCAGAAGCAGAACCAGATCAGGCCTGGTTCTAGTTTTGCCAGAGCGACCCAGCTGATGCCAAAGAAAAATGGTTGTTTTTAAATGGAGCGTCCATGTTCCTGTCTTGGTCGTTGTTATAGTGTGGAGGTGTGCGTGGCCAGGGAACAGGGTCCTGATCATTCCGTAGGCATGTTGGCTGAAGCGACCAGATGGCTCGGATGACTGTGCTTATGAAAAAAAACGCTGCACTTTCTCTCTGCTTTCTTGGCTATCTGGGTTAGATGGCTTCTTGCTCGCATATAGATATACAGCGATCTAGACTGTTTGAACTTCTTGGCCACTTGGTAGTGATGCTTTGACCTGCGGATGAGTCTTCAGCTGAAGAGGGAGATGACAAGGACTGCATCGCCGGCAGGTACCTTTCGTGCATTGCTCCACTGGCTCAGCAAGCCACTGACGGTCATCGGTCGTTTGCTGAGTCAGTGGAGCCCTGCATGAAAAGCCCTGGCATCCCACAACCCAAGCCAGCCACCAGTTCCAGAAATCATCTGAGATAGATTGGTGGCCTGGCATCAGATGGAAAAGGATGCTGCAAATACAGAACTGGATACAATCGACCTTGCTTGATCTGCTGGAAGAGGAGGATGCACAGGGGCATGCATCAAGTGAGCTATGTGCTTCGGGGGATACAACTGCTGTGGATCCTCAGGTAGACTGATTTCATCTTTTTCTAACACTATCGATGCATTGGGGACTGAAATCACAATGTCGCATAGAAACATGCCTTGGCAGAGCAGTGCTGGCTGAACAGATAGCCTGCCTGCGGGTCCGCCCCTTCTGCATGCAGCAAGGCTACACAAAAGACCTTCCCTACTAAGCCATGGTAGCAGGTTTGCTGTATCGGCCCCCCAGCTTCTGTTGGGGGACTGCTTCCATGGACAGGTGTAAGATGATTTATCGCTCACACCTGCCTGTCAAGGGGAGGCACAGTGTTGTGTCCTTCAGTGTTGCCTGCTGTGTTGCAGTCCTTTGTGGTTGGACTGGTCCTGTGTCGCCCTTTCGTCATGCTTGGCTATAGTTGGCTTTGTTCTGTACTGCACTTGATTCTTGAACCTTGGCCCTTGACTTGCTCAAGTCCTGCTCTTTGTCTTGTGCGGGCGCTTTTCGTTTGTTCTTCGTTTCAGTTTTGGCTCTACCAAGAGGCAAGCCTGCAAGGCAACCGAAAAAAAACATCGGGCTTGCCTTCAAACCGTTGGCCGGGTTTGGAGCTCACACTCTTGGAACCATGTTGTGTCTGACAGAGCTTTTGGCCAACATGCTCCAGCCTTGGGAAGCAGACGACAGCAGGGCAATGTGCCAATGTGCCTGCTGGGCTCTGGGAAGGACACCATGGAGTACAGGGAGTGGATGTGGCGGTGGGGCGAGACCCGCATCTGTCCATATTACATGGGAGGCCTCTTGTGATCGATTGACTCGCTTGACTCGCTTGACTGTTTCCTTTCTTCGTGCCTTGACCGGTCCTGTGTCGCCTTTTTGTCAGTTATTGCCGCCGGATACCGCCTCTGGGTTCCTGTGTGAATGTTTTTGTGACAGACTGTGTTTAACATGAGTAAGAATATGTGCATGGCACATTGTGGCATGAGATTGGGTTGCCCTTGCTGCATGTCGTTGTGTGCATCATGATGATGTGCTTGCCATATGCTGACCCAGAGGATATACAGTCTCGGCCGCTCGGTCGGCACAAGGGGTTGTTGTCCTTGGAGCACTCTTCATATCTTGGCCTTGGGCCTGCCGTTTGGGTTCATCCTCTTTTCACTCTGTTCTGTCATGGATAACCTTCTTGATGCCTTGGCCTTGGGCTCTGCATCTGGACCTTGGGCATGGCGTTTGGCATGAGATTGCAATGTGTTCCCGTTGCCGCTTGTCTTGTGTTGTGGCATGACTTGCTGATTGCCATGTCAATGCGAGCCAGCGGAACCTATGCTTACCCACTCCGAGGGGGGTGTGGAAAATTTCACATGCAGGGTTGGCCGCCTGCAGGCGTGGTTCCATTCCCGCAGTGTTAAGGCCACGCCGACGTGGCCGATGATGGTTTTAACGATCTAGGCCCGGAGGTATGACAGTGGGGCACATGTGCCTATCTGTCTTGGAAGCCCATCCAATGGCTCTGATCGCATTGGTGACATGGGACCCCATCTTATGAAGAGACCAGAGTGCTTCCGCAACATGCTGTGGCAGTATGGTAAAAAAATTGAATCACGTGTCTTGAAACATGTGATAATTCATCAGCAATAGAACTAGCCAGCCAACAAACCAGCGTGCTCTCAGAGACCTTGTGCAGCAGGTTGTGCCGCATCTTTGAAGACCCCCATGTCTTGCAACACGGATATAAGAAGCAATAACATGGGGTCTTGTTGTCTTAAGCTTTAGACTTTAAACTTTAGACTTTAGCCTTAAGCCTTAAGCCTTAAGCTGGCAGATGTATACGGGGGTGTGATGCTTGGCCATGGGTGTGTGTGTGACACATTGAAATGCACTGTGATGATTTGTCTGGTAAGCATGGTTCGACACAAATGGGCCAGGGGCAGGGCACAGTCCTGCATTTGTCGAGCTGCCGGCCAGGCTGCAGAGGTGGAGGAACAGAAGCAGCATGAGGAGACAGAGCCGACACAGGTGACATGGCACTTTGGTTTTTCATAGTGAAGTCCAGAACAGCAAGTGCATGGTTGGCCAGGCTGCAGATGTGAAGAAGGAGGACGACGAGCACCAGGGGCCCGACTTGCTGCAGGCAAAGTGTGTGTTGGCTTGCGTCCATCTGACAGCTACTAGTTGCTAGCGGCAGGTCGGAACTAGTATCGGTAGCATTGTCATGCAAGACCGTATGCCTGCTTCTGCACCATCAGCCAAGCAGAGGAGGCAGAGGAGAAGGAGATGAAGCATGAGGAGAACCAGCACCAGGACGTGGCATGGCTCTGAAATTCA